CACCATGGCCGAAGAAAATATTTCGTTTTAGAAAATTAGTGAAAAATCATAGGGGAAAGCTGGGCGATTTCGATTTCGATCGAAAAAAACGACGACCAGTTGGCTTAGAAATGAAAAATAAAAAAATATTTTCATAATCTCCCGAACTAGTTTCTAACAAAAACCGGCCTTCGACCAATTTTCTGTTTTACAATAATTATTAAAAAAAACATAAAAAAAATTATTAAAAAATTTAACCCTATCCTATATACATGTCCTATGCATCTTTAGGAATGTAGATAATTTTATTTGCTTTTCTCACGCCAAAAAACCGTCGTCGGACAGAAAACACGGTACAACGAGAGCCCCGTAAATATTTGCGTCTTTAGAAACTTGGTCAGGATTATGAAAATAATTTAGTTCTAAAAAAAAATAATAAGCAGAGTAGCCTTACTTCTCTCTTTTCAATCAATAAACCAAAGATATATCTTTTACTTTGTCAACACCCTGTATCTAAGAAAAACGATGCATTTCCCGGACCCTATATTCATAGGAACTTTTTTTGCTTCATTTCATCTAAGGAACACGTCCTTGAATTTCGTCGGGTAGGTAATAATAACACCCTGTATATTGGGGATATTGTTTTTAATTATTTTTTTCTGATAATACTGTATTATTATTTCTTTAGATTTTGTTGCTTAATTGGGCCACTATTTGAATTTCACTAATACTTTACTATTTTAATATGCAATAACTTTGTCGGAATTTAACAAGAACATTTATGTCCACCTAGAACAGATAAAATGACCACTGTGCGAGCGGGGTGCCATTTTTAAAAATCAAAAGTTGTAGGGTCATGTCGGTGAAACAGTAAGTGGACCGAAAAACAATTGAATACGTCCAATCAATCCCAATTTGTGTCATATACCGAAAACATACCAAATCTCGTTTTTATCGTGAAAAAAACAAAAAGTTTATAGTGGTGAGCTCACTTTGAGACGCACGCGGTAAATTCTTCAGTTCAGCCAGGTTGAACGTTTTCGCGCAGCGCTAGCGCTATGGAGACATTATTCGTTCGATTTATATTCAGTACCTAAGTATTTTTTAAAAGGACAAAAAATAAAATACCTATAGGAACTTCTTTCAATGCGCAGAAGAGAACGCAACGTTTATCGGCAGCCAGACGACACCTGCCCGCATGCTGTCCAAGAGAGCATAGTAAAAGGATATATCCAAGAGAGGCCCTGCTATTACCTCTTAAAATACTTGTTTTCACAACGCCGACGTTGCTAGCTCTCGTTACTAGTAACGTGTGGGGCCAACTCAAGAATAACATGGTACGCGCGGCCCCTGTATATAGAAACTACTTATCGTATTGTAGTAATCTTTTTGGGAAAAAAATTCTAATAACGTAAATCGACCAAGAAAAATCCTGGAAATTATTTTGCAAGGTTCGAAAATGTCCGGTAGGGGCGTTTCTCTGATAGCCAATAAGAAAACAGGCGTTTTCTCAAAAATATTGCAGGTGGACAGGTATTTTAAATATTACTTTGTTGTAATCATCGATAAATTTGTATTTTTGCTTGCATATAAAGTATTTTGCTCTATCTCATAAAATAAAGTGGTGGGGAAGGTTTTTAAACTTGCTTTTTATTTAAAATAAGGATAACTCAGGTTTGAGTTAAGCGATTTAAACAAACTAGGAGCTGTCGGTTTTTTTTAAAAAAGAGGCTTCTCTTTCCAGTTCTAATATTCTCCAGTATTAAATTTCTGTTTCCACAATTTTTTGTCGTGGCGTTGGTAGCTAGTGGGCGCTCAGCCTTTTCCAAGCCACCGTCGAAGACACATTTGCAATTTATCTCTTGGAAATTATGGATAGTTCACTTCATTCAGATAATAATCTCGTCAATCCTGCAATAAGATGAATTCCTGGCTAAACATGTATCGACCAACGGTCTTGGTGTTGAACTACTTGCATCAAGGCTAGATTTGGACCAGTAGTAATGGTTAGCTGCACTGATTGTTAACATTCGCACCTTTGGGGCTATATGAAAAGTGACCCCAAACGACATAAACTTGTATAATATAATTAAAAAACACCAGACCAAACAATAGGTACGAGTAAAAATACGAAAAACAAGTGAAATCAAGGACGGAATAATATTAAACCCCTAGTTTTTTAGGCCATACAAATTTTGGACCGGTTTTCTGTTAAAAGCAATATGGCGGCACGACGGGATCTTGAGAAATTTAAATAACATTTATTGATTTGTCCGACTTTTGGACATTATAATGTGAGAACTACCGATGTATAATTAACCAAGACATTCCGTAAAAAATTATTTTGACATGGACGATAATGTTAAAAACCACGTTTAAAAATTTATGAAAAAAAAAAAAAAAAAACTTTTTTTTAAGAAAACAGCCCGCAAATCTCAGGATGGCATGAAAAACTGAAACTTAAACTTATTTTTTTGACCCGTACACCGCTAATTTACCTTTTTTTGTTCCCTAGCCTACTACTATATTTTTACCACTACTACTAATTCCTCTTAAGCGGCCCAGCCTAACATAATTGTCTGTTCTTTAATATATACAATAACACGGTTAGAGAGAAGATTAGAGAGTTGCGGTTTGCTCTGATATTTTTGGAGAATTTTGTGCTCTATTTAAACTGTGCCAAGAAAAATAATAGGCCCTTCCTATTTACTTTTTTTTTATGCAAAAGCGCAACATCTGTTATGATACCACAAAAAGCGCCCTCTAGCTACCACGAAAAAAAAATATGGAAACAAAACTTATTATATACTGAAGTTATTATTAGGAAAGAAAAGCTCTTTTAAACGAGGCCCAGTTTGCTTGTTAAAATCGGTTAACCTAAACCAGAAGTTATCCTTAATTTTTTTATAAAAAGCCAATTTAACCTTCCCCCGCCACTTTACTTTATGAGAAGAGCAAAAAATACTTTAAAAAAAAAAAAAAAAAAAAAAAAAAATAATAACAATATTTAATTAAATTACCTGTTCAACCTGCCATATTTGAGGAAAAACCCTGTTTTTCTGAATTGGCTATCAAGAAAGAAAAAAACGCCCCCTAGCGAACATTTTTTCGAACTTTAAAATAATTTCCCGCGATATTTTTCTTCGAATTTTTTTATTAGATTTTTTTTCACCAAAGTTGTTAAATTTATACGATAAGTAGTTTCTGAGATACAGCCGGTCCATTCTTAGTTGGCCACACGGCACGTAGTCAAATTTTGATTTTTCCATCGTTTGTTTTGTAATTCCTCTTGATATTATTTAGTTTTGCTGTATTATATACCCTTTATAACTCTTAATTTCTTTACGCTTCCTGAGGAAGGCATAAATAAAACCTAGTCGAAAATATAGAGCTTTTAGAAATAAATTAAGTTTGAATTTAGACAGACCGCTTCCCGAGAATATATCACTGTTTGTTTTAAAATTACAACATAAGTTTCGAATTGAAATGAATACATTTATACAAGTATTTTTTGTTACTTCTAACCAAGAAATCAAGCGATATAAAGTAAAAAAAAAAAAAAAAAAAAATGCATATTTTTATTTTTAATTGTTTTTTTTTTTTTTTTTTTTTTTTTTTTTTCTTTCTTTCTTTATAATCTGCTTATTATGGCCATTTATTTACTTGAATTACTGGAATATAATAATCTATTTGTTCGTTTATCATTTATTAACATTTTTTATTTCTTCTTTAGTTAAAACCACAGGTAAACTACATACCAAAGGGTTCAAACTTAACATTACCATAACGTCTGTCGTTTTGTCAAGTAGAGAAATCCACAGTAGAGAAGAAATCAGGTAAAATAAAAAATAGCATTGTCATCTTAAATAGCGTAACTGAGAGTAAAGGCTGTCCAACGAGTCAGGGTAGATTTGGACAGGAGACATCCCTAAATGACAGAAAATTTAATTTACGTGTGCATTAAAATGACAGCCACAACTGTCACTGCCATGTATCCTCGTTGGTCAGACTATAGCCCGCTTGGATTAACAATAGTTCCTATTTAAAAAGTCCTATCGTATTGAAAAAATCAGGTTTCCTATTTTAGATTTTCACTCCAATCGTTTTTCAATAGCAACATGCACAAGATAAAAATGAGGCGTCAAGTTGCAAAACCCGCTAATACCATTTTTTTTAAATTGACTAATTACATATATATTAATAGTGGACCCTGAAATCTACATAAACATAGTCCGAACCTGCAGCAAAAGTCTCCCATTCCTATATAAAATTTACTATAAATTATATACGTTACTGCAGTAAAATCCGTCTTATCCACTTATATTTGCTTTTTGTTGTCATTATTGTTGCAAATCCAGCAATTTTTCATAGGCTTTTTACACAAGTATAATATTACTACTGACATCTTATCCAATTCGAATCCTTACCTAGTTTTTATGAAATAGCATATCTTAGTTATTAATAGTTAGAACTGATTTATCGAGAGATGGCGCAGTCCCTGACAATATTTAATTACATATGACCCATTGAAAACCAGAGTGGTCTAAATCAATTTTTTTTGATTTTCTAATTTCAGTATATTACGATTCCTGATGTAGTTTTCTATCTACTCACGAAATGTTAGTCTATAAAAACATCATATATCTCACTCAAAATTGTAACCGTAAAGAGACAACGAGTTACATCCTCAAGCCAGAGTGGTACAAATGAGACTTAACCACATGTTAACTACTCTGGTATTTCTTACGGCGTAGTGTAATTAACAGAACTAATTTTACTTCAAACAGTTGATTGGATAAGGCAGTTACTAGTAAAAAATGTATTTTTCATAATAATGATAATGAAACGTTTTGCCCCGAAAAGTGCCTTCGCTGGAAATACAATGGTTACATTTTAAAATATCTGACCTACACAAAATATAGATAAAATTTCTATTTAAATATTGAGCATACATCCATCTGGTAAATAAGGCAGAGGCAGACTAAAAATATTCAATTACCTGGCGTTGAATTTTGGTGTCCTGTAAGGGTGCGTTTATGTTGGAGCGGCGATAAACGATAAGAGCACCGATAATAGCGAAGCAAAGAATATTATTATATTAATTTATATGTAGGTGTTTATATTGGAGCAACGCGTCGAGACAAGGTTGGCAGTTGAGCAACGATAAGAGCAGCGCTAATTCACTGCTTTTATCGTTTATCGCAGCTCATATCACAACATAAACGTACCCTAATGCAAAAAAAGTAAAATATCTATCAACTGTTTCAGTTTATACCGCCAATACATCTAGGGTTTTTAAGAACCTAGAGCTGTAGAAGCAATAAATATACCTTTTCTCTTTCTCAACCAGGACAAATATGACACAGAACTTTTAGAAAGTAATCTGCCCTATGAAAAGCTTAACTAGGATGTTTTTGATAATTCTGACACTATCAGATATATCTCTTAACTTGTTAAATTATCTTATAAACATTTGTAAGACAGTTTTTTTATTTATTTTTTTTTATTTACATGAGGACTTATTTTATATTATGCACTATTAGTCTGAGACTAATAGTGCAATCAATTATTTAATTATATTATAATTGAATATCTTGTATCTAAAAATTTACTAATGTTGGAATGAAAATCAATAACTAATTATTTCTTGTAGATATAATGCAGCCTCAGGAGAAAGTAGATGGACAACTACTAACTTGAACGCGACATTTCCATCAAGTAATAAGTAGATATATATTTTGTATTTTGATCTACATCATAGCCGATCTAGTCATCGAAACAGCGTGGTCTGGATTTTAACGTGTAAGACCAAACCAAACCAAACCAAATCAAATGTATTAAAAAGAGATAAAAGTTGGGTTGATACATTTCTTCTATGCGGTATTGCCGGACTTTGCATCAAAATTTCAAACCATACAAGTAGGCGTTCAGGAAAAATGTTGCATCTAGGGTTCGAACTTTATTTCTCACAATTAATTACTCATTTTAGTACAACTATGACAACTATGTAATCTGTAATAGATTATATTTAGCTTAGATATATTATCTTCATTTCAGTAGTATACATGAAAGTTTTTAAAATAGTTAATTTTTTTCTACACACATTTTCCTACAAACGTAAAAACACTGTAAGCCGCTTTTTATTTTGTCTCTCTGTCAACCGGTCATTTATATTTACCTTTGTCGCATGCATTAAAATACAGACCACACAGATGAAGTGACCAGACCTTGTATGTAGATATAAGTATACCAATTTCTTATAATATATACCTACATCAATTAAATTCTAGGAAAAAAAACAAACTCGGAACCGTCAAAAAATGTTAATAGCCTGCAACGGTTGTTTGAGTCTGCATCAGCTGTGAATCCAAAAGGTTAATAAAGGTTATATATTTTATCATATAATACATTACTTGCGCTTAGGGATTGCATTATCAATTTATCGAATTACCGGTTGAATAATACTGGGACACTTAATTCGTGTGTCCAGACGATGATGAACTTTTTTACTTATTTTTATCTGCTTAATAGCTCACATAGGACCCGAATTACGACCTCCGATCCTTACCACTTTTCCTGACACTAGGTCTTATGTCACGGTCTTGGATTTTTACTCCCAACGCGCTTAAAGAAGTTTCATTTCAAAACCGGTAAATATCGGTAAACCGGTAGTTTCATATTTTAAATTACCGTTTACTGGTAAATTGAAAAGTCGTTTAATATGTAATCCCTTCTTGCGCTGTATAATGCATTATAGTTATACAACAATTGATGGGTAAGGAGAAAAACAGACGATGTCACAAAACGACAAAACTGACTTTTACAGAGAAAACTGATTTAATGTGGACAAATATCATGTTAAAGATACCTACAAAAAGTTATTACTTTATGCGTTATTATTTGGACATCGTTTGTTATATTCAACTACAATTTAGCATGTGTTTGTGTCTTGGTATTTTCACCAGATTAAGTTGATTACTTAAAAATTCCGATAAAATTAACATCTTTGGTTTTCCCCCTTACCCATCAATTAAAATAAAATTATTTTATAAAATTACCAAACACAAATACATATTCTATATTCACTCTAGGTACAGAACTTAAGGGTCAGAGTTCCCATGACTCAATTGGCAGATTCCCTGGTTCTTCATACGGATACAATACTTCATACAATAATTCTAGAAGAAATACACCAGTTTCGCCTAGAACTGCTTTTAATCCCTCTTACACTACTGCAGATTATAATTCAGGAAGCATATCCAATCCTACACATCGACCGTCATATACTTTTCCTGCTCAGAAAACAAGTACTTTGTATGAGATCCCAACATATTCTATTCAGGGACCAAAACTTAAAGGTCAGCAAAGATTTCTTCTTAGAATAGACATTTAAGAATAGATAAAATAGAATATCCGTGATTTAATTTTCCGTACACTGTTTTTCATGTTTTTTTTTTCAAAATTTTAATGTATTTTAAGTTCAATATAATTATACAGGGTTATTCACCCCATACCTTTCCCCATACAATACGGAGTACTGTATAAAATACCCTTTATATTATTACATTTTTAGTTTCTACGCTTGAAATAAAGGTAAATTTTATTAAGGTTTACCGCACTTTAATTAATAATTTACGATATTGTGAAAATGCAGTAACAACTTTAATGCTACATTCCTCTAGGCGTATTTAAGTTTTTAAAACCAAATATTGTACTGAAGTTTTTCTGTTTACTAGATTCTTGAGATTTTAAAAATTACACTACCTTATATAGAGTGTCTAAAAATTTATATTAAATAATTTCTAGCTTTAAACGACAATAACCTGCTTAATTTAAATGGAACACCCTGTATATTTGTGATGTGAATCAGATCACAATTAATTGTCTATTACAAATTGTATTGTACCATTTTTCATTAACCACCATCTCTTCAATTTTTCGTTGAAAATGCATTTTCTTATCATTTAGACCTCATTTATCAATATACCCTTGGAATATTGACATTTTACATATTTTATTAAGGCAACAAATATAAAAAATGTACAAGTGCTAAAAACGATAATATTGGTAGCCTATTTGTTGGTAACTACAAAAAGAAAACTAATTAAATATTTGTAAAAGAGTATGCCAATTAAACATACTACCATTATTCCCGCCCAAATATTCATTAATTACATACTTAATTGTGTTAGTTAATAAATTATTCTAAATAAAAAAGTGGATTTGAATCAGAAATCAATATAATAATAAGTTATGAATGTGAATTGCGAATGTCCCTTTTGTTATAAATTAGCATTATTCAAAAAATGAAATCAAATTTATAAGGTGTTCTTTTTACCACACTGTCTAATACACATACAAAATTCAGTTTTTTAATATTTAGAGCAACTATTATTAATCAACGTAAGCGGTCAATTAATGTAGTTTGAATACTGGGATCATATTAGTTGGTCCTCTTTAACAAAAAATATTTAAACAGCTTTTTTATCTTTTAATTTTAACATTAGTCAAAAAATGAAATAAAATTTAAAAGGTGTTACTTTTTACCACACTGTCTAATACACATACGAAATTCAGTTTTTTAGTATTTGGAGCAATTATTATTAATCAACGCAAACAGTCAATTAATGTTAATGTATTTCGAATGCTTGTACCATATGATCGAAAAAAAACGGAGTCCAGTTGGCTGGGAAATGAACATCAATGACATTTCCCATATAAATTTACATATAAAATGACAGCGATCTTCATTCCATAGCCATCGCTGACGCCGTTTTTTCTCGATCATACGGTATTTTTATTTGATTAATTACTATTAGAAGAAATTTTTATTTTTTAGTGAAATAGTCAAACTATATAGACAATATTAATTTCTGTACTCTGTACTCTTTGAAAATTTGTTACCTCTTTAAAAATAATCTAAAATGTCAATATTGTATATTGATAAATGAGGTCTAAATTAAAAGAAAATTTATTTTCTACAAAAACATGAAGAGATAGGTAAAAATGGTATAATACAATAATTTGATAGACAATTAAATTGTACTGATCTTTCTCCGCTAATTTTGATTACTGATTTCGTTAAATATTATAGGGGACCGTTGTTTAAAATTCAAACAAGTTATGTGCCATTTAAAGGCTACTTTTGAATTATTTAATAAACTGTTTTTTTTTTATTTATAATATAATTAATCAGACTTATATTTTAATTATCGTAATACAAAAGTACTAGCAGTACTTTTTGAGCTGTTTCAAAATTTAACATGCGGATAGCCAGTTCACTGATTATATTATTTGAAGGTCATAGACTTGTATGGCAAAGCTTCTAACTTGATAAATAATATTACATTATGGACAAAAGCAAGAAACAAAAAGGAAAAGGAGCCAAAAAAGATGGAAATGATCTAAAAGCATTATTATCAACTAGTCTCCACCATTGCAACGCTAAAAATCAATTTGACAAGGGAACAGGTTTAGTGTTTATTATGTTTATTACCATTTATTCTCACTTATTCGCTTAGGGGATCCATTAATCTACGTGAGAAATACAGCGGGCCGAGGTCAAGCCCGCATTCTCCACTATATAAATCTTCACGAGAGAGAAGAGAGGAACGGTTTCGACAAATCATCAGGTCATCAGTTAAATACAAGCTATAGTAAAACATGTTCCCGTCTTCAAAATATGACCAGTTCTCTCGTGTATATCTAAACATCTATGACAGTGATCATGTCAAGGTTATTAGTATTTATATATAGTAGGTCACCCGATTCCAATGGTTGGAAAAAAATGATAGTCGGCCGCAGTTTTTAAATTTCTCAAGCGAGGCTAATGAACTTCTGCTACGGCCAACGGAAGAAACTCGTTTTAATGAGTGGGCTAAATCAGAGCAAAGAGATGTAAGGGAGCAGATTGAACTTTACTGAAATATTCACATGAACTAATACGGAACGGTTTGGTAAAATACTGGAAATAACAAATGTTGATGTTTTCTAAATTTCAATACCTTTATTATAAAATTTATCTTTTATGCATTTTTAATGTACCTATTCTCTGCTTTTACGTTTGCTTCTTCTTTTCAATGGAGTTTAATATTGAAAAGTACTTTATTAATAGACTGTTAAACTCGTTAAACAGCTCAAGTAAAGATTTGCAGGTCCAATATTAAAACAGATCAATAAAAAATAAATAAACCTAATCAATATTTATATTTTTATAGCTCACAAAACATTCACGATTACTTGTCTTGTTTTTCATGTTTTCTTTAAATGTTTTAGACTTTAAGAAACAATGGCTGCATGATAAGTTTAAATGGTAATAAAAAGTCATTCTATTTAGTTAATGAAATTTATTTACCTTTATTGCCTACCTCCATATTGCTTTTGGATGTAAATACAAAATATTATAACCAATTTTAGAGATTAAATGAGAATTTCATTCGAACTTCCAATATTTGCTTATTTTCTCTCACCTAAATGACATTGATTGACAAACAAAACCAGAAAAACCAGCCTTCTCGCGCTGGTTAGTTTGGAGACAGTTATAACCGAATTTTTCAGAAACAGTGTTCCCTAATAAGAAAACTTTCAGGAAACCGATAGAAACGGAACATGAAACCATAACCAAGGTAAGCAACGGAATACACCCTAAATACTACAAAATGTAATTGAAACCACTAATTTATTCCACTAATTGCGAGGTTCTGAATGAAGTTTAAATATCTACTTATGTGCGGTCTGTTAAAAATAAAATCTTATTGTTACTAACTTATTACCCGAAATTACCCGAAGGTACCCGAAATTCTTTTACTTTTAACGATGATACTTAATAATGAAGATATGAAATTAAACTAAACTTCTTTAAATAAGGAGTGGTAGTAGTAATTTCAAGCGCGACTCCATAATATCGATTCCTCGTAACTCTAACTAAATTCCAGTAAGCCGGAAACAAGTAATAGGACTAGTGGGGAGGCATTGATTTTATCCGTTGCCGAAGTTGAGCAGAGTACTTCGCCAAATTCTCTCCGTCTAATTCCGTAAGTTGCGAGTTTCAGCTCGATCCCCGTTCCAGCCGTAAATTTATTCCAGTTTCGGTGTTTTATGGTCTGCGGAAACGCCCCGCGAAATAAACCGTGCAAAAATAAACGTGTCGAGAACCGCACTAAATCGCTTCCTTTAGTTTGGATTACGTACAGCCTGCCTTTTTGGGGATATTTATTTGATATCCCGAGTTGTAACAGCAGCAGAACAGGCTAAATTTTCGGCTTTAAAAATTCAACTCTTTATTTTAAACATCGTGTACGGTGCCGATTATGTTTACCGGTCAGTATATTTGACTGTTATTAACCATCAATTCGAAGTTAATGAAACAATGCCTAGAATCTCAACAATTAGGCAAAAGAAAATAAAGCCCTCCTACTCTGGGTGCTGCTCACCAAGGTAGAAGGCAATAAAATCTCCCTTATAACATGGTGGGGATTCATAATTGCTCGGCACACTGCAAATTTCGTTTTGTACCCAAGTATGATTGTAGAAAGCCCTGTCTTTTAATTTCCAGAATGCTCTTGGCTGCTAATCTATTGCTGAATTTCAGAGTCGATATTACTTTTTTCGAATCGCTGCCGAAGATAATTAAATTCCGCTATATTCCAATAGTTCTTCTCCGATTTTTTATAGCGTTGTTGTGATCTTCCGGGGAGTGCATGATTTTGGTTTTTTTGTCGATGTTTAAGCTTAGAAATTGCTTCCCAAAGCCTCGTATGCTCAGGTATGTGTTCAACATTTCTTGTAATTGTTTTAACGTTTTTGCAACTAGAGCGCAGTCATCAGCGTGAAGTTGTGTGATGAATTTGTACGTGTTTTTTGACCTGAGTCGTTTATATCGAACAGACCGCCGTCGTATCTATAATGCCATTCCTCCCTCTCCTGCAGTTTGTTATCACTATAATGGAGGCGCTGCCATGATTGTTGAATACGAGAGGCGCCAAAACACATCCTGCCTAACTCCTGCATTTGTTAGGAAGGGATCGCTCAATGATCAGTTTGGTGCCACTCTTGACTCGTTGTTTTATGGAGGCTTTTACACACTATACACTTACACTCCTAAACACTCAAGTTTAGACTGCTCTACTTTCCTGGGTTGAATTAAAATTTAAACCTGTGTATTTGTAAATTACTAGTTGTTTGATATTCTCCGATGAGTGGCAGCACCGGCGGAGAATTCACCAATAAGCCTAAATTTTCCTTCGTGGGTTTATTCTGTAGTCCTTGATGTTTAGGAAAACCATGGCTAAGTATTAAAATAATTCATTC